CGGTGCGACCTCGGGTCGGTATTTTTGGTCTGGGGCTTGTTTTCAAAAGCCTTAGTTGTATACAGGGTGGGGCATGAATATGGTGAAAAAAAATTGAAGATCAATGAGAGGAGTTACACCTCAGTTAGCAAAGCTCTTTGTTGGCTCGAACGAAGTGGAATTCGCGCAAAAATTCCCTACATTTCCCTACAATTTCCATGTATTTTACCCATATTTCAACTGCTCCATTTTCTAGGGGGGTCATGTAATTTCGCGCAACCGAAGCAAGTACGACCCCCCCCCTCTACAAACTCATCAAAATACGACCCCCCGTTGCTACTTGTAGCAACATAGGGTTGACCCTGGTTCACAGACACTCCTCGTCCGCCCTTCACTGGAGGCTTTGTCGGCCACTCATGCCGACACCAACGATAATATAAAAGTGTCAACAAACCTCGTAACTGATTCTAGTACCGAACGCTCGGTCCAGATTAGTGATGGTTTTGCCAGTAATCTCCAAATGTTCGCCAGGATCGTCAAATACCCGCGGGAGACCTTTGAGAATTTCCTGTTCGAGTTCACCAAGTTCGATTGTCTAAATACACTTTCAGCTGGTACCAACTAAGTTCAGTTGCTCTTAAAAATTAGCAGCATAAACAGACTTCACAAATAAAATTTAACGAGTAAAACGGACCTGCTTAACTGTTCCGCCTCTGGTCGATATGTGTGGAAACATGTGGTGGACGTTCATTAAAATTGAGCCGAATTCGAGGAGTGTCGCCTACAACTTAAGAGCAATAAAAAAAATATTGCAAAATTAAAAGAGTGAAACAATGCGAATTTTGCAGCAGGGGTTCGCTTAATTTTTGAATGGCACCACCCTTTGAAAATCTCGCCCTCGGTTTCACCCTTACCACATAATTTCAGTCAAATAAAAACACAGAATATAGAAAAAAGTGCTTGAATTTTCAGTACACTATTAGAAAGGGTAATGATTGGCTAAAACGAGCAATGCACAATACGCTTAGCCTTTGAGGGCATTGTTAGAATACTCTCACTATACATACTTAGTAAATATCGCCTTTGTTCCAGGGCGCAATACGAGACAGACAGTAACTGGAAGAATATAGAAATACATCATTCAAATACTGATCACCTTCTTGTTCACAGGATTCGGACTTGCATAGAGAAGATCAGTTCGTCCAATAGCCTCATCAAGCTTTCGAAGACCAAGTCTTGCAAGGAAGTACCGTACTTCTTCAGCTACCATGAACATGAAATTCACGACATGTTCGGGCTTACCGTCAAATTTCGCTCGCAGAATGGGATCCTGAAAGACAATGTGAGAATCAGCGAGTAAAACTGGTATAACAAAAAACAACTGAGAAATAACCAATTCTTTACAGAGCGCAGCTATTGAGCAAACGAATTGCAATCTTCAAAGGCAGGTGTCACGATAAACTGGATATAAAAAAAGGAGAAATCGGTCTACTACAATGATTCCTCAAGGACAGAGACACAGCACTGTCGGCGAAGAGCACTTGTAGTGGGTTGACTCGTGGTGACGGCCGCCTGCTCCGAGTTCCGTCACCGGGCGAGGAACTCTGCCTATGACGGTTCATGGTGAGGCCTGTTTTCACGGCAAAGGAATTAAGTGGTAGAGCAAGTCGTTCACATTGATGATGCCATCTATGGCTGGTGTCAGAGTCCGCGATCCGTCGCGCACTTCGCCGGAAGCGCAAAAATTGCAAGTGCCCCATTTGAACATTTGAAACACTGAATATGAAACAAGTAGAATCATGAACAGTCGTCATTCAACCATCACCATCAAGCAGAAATGGCGGCGGGATTGGAGAGCACCTCGCAGTATTGATCGGGGCACTTGTGATTTCTGTGATCTGTCGCGCGATTCGCGCGCCGTATCGCGAACTCTGACACCAGCCTATCGACGATTCTCGTCGAGCGCGGAAATCATGGTGCTAAAACGATCCTATCCTGTGGTTGTGGCCGATTCCATGTTTTTTCACTCCTGCACCACTTACGTTCCACCTTCATATCGAACCACGACATTTCATCGTATCGCCTGTCTTTAACCCATTCGTGACAATGTCAGCCACCGGTGGCTGACAAAGCTCTCACTCGGGACAATGGCATTACTGTGGCTGCAGGGCTTGAAATGGAATTTGGAAAGTTTTCTTCCATGAAAGAATCTTCATACCCTCGCTCATCTACGCCAGCCCTGGGCAGAGGAAATCTCCCTCCACTCGAATTTTATTGAAGAAAAATCTCCTGACGCTGCTGCTATTGCGCAATCCTGCGCGGTCGCGAATGGGTTAAGTAGAAGCCTAATTAATTCAGAAAGTCTGGTGAAACCTACCTGGGTGGCGATACCGACTGGGCAAGTGTTCAGATGACATTTTCTCATCATTGTACAGCCCAACACAATCAGTGGCGCTGTAGACATACCGAACTCGTCTGCACCCAAAAGAGCCGCAACCATCACATCGCGACCTATAAATGATAGAACCATGTTGTCAGTGCCAGGTCCCAAGGAAATAATGGCTACTTCACGCTACATTTTAACCCAAGCCCCTCACCTGTACGGATCTGTCCATCAGCTTGGATGATCACCCGACTCCTAAGATTGTTCATCGTCAGCACCTGATGAGTTTCGGCGACACCCAATTCCCAAGGTAGACCGGCGTGCTTGATACCAGTCCAACTAAAACGACACTTATTAGGTGGATATGCTGCACTCAATATGTATAGTGAGCTACTTTTCAATGAGTTGTTCTACGAACACATAAGAAATGGCAAGAAAGACCAGTTGGACAAGGAAGCTGTACAAAAGTGGTGGCTTCTCCATGTCCGATCAGTCCTTTTTCTTCTCCTAATCAACAATCTCAAACAAAAACTTGGTAATATTGTCAAAAATTTTTCTACATACTCTAGAGGATCACTGCAACTGACCTCGAAGCTCCGGTGCCACCGTCGTGTCCCGAGATGGTGAGATGATCGGCGTTACCTTTCACAACACCTGATGCGATAATACCAACACCTGCTTCAGAAACAAGTTTCACACTAACACGTGCCTCAGGATTGGCACATTTGAGATCATAAATTAGCTGAGCGAGATCTTCAATGGAGTAAATGTCGTGATGTGGTGGCGGTGAGATCAGTCCAACACCAGGCGTCGATTTGCGCGTATCAGCAATATCTTTCGTCACTTTATGACCAGGTAGTTCACCACCCTCTCCAGGTTTGGCACCTAAATGCGATTAAACATTAGAGTATCACACACCTGGCACTCTTCTTACACAAGTATTCGCGAAGTATTTCTAAGTGAAGGCTTTTCAGGTCTAACCCGCCTCCAAAAAAAATGGTGGGCAGAAGAGCCTGCTTGTGAGCGCACTACGCCTCTGTGACGCGAGCGGCACGTGTTATGCTCCTACCGATAGGGATTTCTTTGTAAATGGCGATACAAGTAAACTATGTATGGCGCAACGAGGCGACTGACGCGCACGGTAGCTCCCCTATTTTCGAAGACTCAATCTACGAGTGAATCATGCGACACCCAAGTAACATGTGACAGCATGTGACATACTAGCGCTAAATTTCCGTTGGAAAGCAACACTCAAAACCTCTACGGGTGCGGATCAGGAGATCTCGTATGCGGCAGCGTAGCGAACAGCAGCGTTCCAAATGGCGCAGCGCGTGATTCATATTCATTAGCGACCCGCCGGAAGAGAGTCACCACGCGCGCCACGCGCACAAGAATCTGAACAATTTTTAGTATCATTGTATAGATGGGACGTGCTGACTTGTAAATTGCTTCATGGGACAGAGATGTATCCTTGACCAGAGTGGACATAACATCACGCAACTATGAAATATGGTCGGTCACGAAGAAACTAGGTCTCAAATTGGGTTGGGCGGACCCTACATGAGCCGTGCATACAAATGTTGAATCACATTCGATCATCATCAATGGCTGTGCGGTGTTCCTATTTTACCTTGTTGAGGTAGAACAACAATAGAGTGTTCGAACAATATGTCCACAAAATCTAACCTTGGGCCATTTTGATTTGAAGTTCATCGGCATTGGCCAAATAAGCTGAGGTGACACCGAAACGTGCAGAAGCAACCTGAAGTGAACATTTTCATACCCATAGATCTGAACAAGTTAGGACTCGGTAAAATTTGTAAGACACTAGGGAGGATTAACTAGTAAGCATACTCGCATATTAAAAGAAGATATTGTCTGTGATTGCACGCAACCCACAGGGGGGAGAGAATTGCTCACCGGTGGCGCGGATGC